TGGAAAAAGGTTGGTACACAAAAGAAAAGATGAAGACCGAGCTCAAGTGGAGCAAGTTTGGTTCTAAGTTGCTCTCCAAATATGCAAACTATAGCATTCAAAACTGATGCGAATGAAGAACATATATAGGAGAATATGAGATTGGAAATATATATATATATATCTGTCGGCAATGTGTTTTTTGGGGAGGTCCCTCCGCACCCAAGGGAACGCATAAAGGCTGCTGTCGCCTACTGCACTGATATGCGGCGTGTCAAGACCCACGTGAGGCCAGGTGTCTACCAAACCCATTCCACCTGCATGTTTTTTTGCACACCATTCACCATTCTAGTTGTATTGCAGGAGAGACAAGTACGAGCGCAACATCAAAGAATACTGGGTGGACGTGCAAACCACTGGGTCTTTTGAGGACGAAAATGAGGAAGCTCTGATCGACCGCACTTTCGGTGAAGGGGAAGCTTCCACGTTCGATCTTGGTCTCCCAGCGTCTGACCTCCATAGCCCAGGCGGTGAACCTGCAGGTGATGAGAGCGACCGAGAGGTGGAGGAGGACTTTGACGATGGTGTCAGTGCCCGAATTCCCGGCAAAGCTGAAGTGCAAAAGGAATCCACTCTTGAGGATGGGGTACCCAGTATATGGATTTTGAACATGGTCTGTGTCTACTTGTTTGGAGTAGGTTTGCTTTTGCTTCACTGCTTGACAGGCCATCGACAATGTTGGCTCTGTGATGCAGAACCTTTTGAGGGTACAAACCAGGATGGAGGTTGTTCGTAGCAAACTTGAGGAGATCGCAACTGCTGAAGCCAAAGAGACACCCAGCACTTGCAGTACATAGTGTTTGACCTTTTCAACGTTCACTTGTTCCTTTTCATGGCTTATGAATATTAGAAACGTTTGTGGGGGGCCCTTAGCCAAGGAGTGTGAAGAAGGTCGAGAAGTTCCGTACTAACTTGATGAAATACCACGATGAGTTGGCAGACTTGAAATCATACTTTGATGGTCACAAAGGTGACGACAGCTTCGAGCAAGGGATGCTTTGTAGCACTTTCCGTACTATGACACAAACAAAAAAACAAAGAAGCACGCCGATGTGACAGATTCAGGTATTTTGTTCATCCTCCCAATCCGCCCCTGTCAACGAATCTGCGCCGAGGAAAGTTGACGGCCTCCACAAAGTTGTCCAAAACATTGAGGTTGAGCGACTGCCTCGTTTTATTCACGCACAAGTCCTCTAGTTCGTGTGATGTTCTACACTCATCTACACTCATGATTTCTCGATAAATTGATCTAAAGCAAGGTCATCCCGAGCCATGATGGAAGACACCAAGCTGAAGAAGTCTGATTCCTATTGTATATCACAACTACAACCATTCTCACATCATACTCTGGCATTGCATGCATGTGCTTGTGTGCGTGCATGTGCTTTCAAGTGGACCCGTTCGTTGTCGTTGAGGACAATCCTGAAGTCCGCCAAGCCCACCAAGCCTGATGGCAAGGCGTCTGGCAAGGCGAAGGCAAAGGCCAAAGGGAAGGCCGCGCCTAGGTCTAAGGCCAAGCGAAGCGTTGACGACGAGGATGCTGATGAGACCGCTGAGCGTCCCACAAAAGAACGAAAATCTTCAAGGAAATAGGTCATTTTGCTGCAGTTGGGTGACATTCCAGTTTTTGAAATGCAAAATCCCTCACCCGTGCCAGTTGCTCACAAGAAATACTTTCAGTTACGTGCGCACACTATAACCCCCCACTTGGCCCTGCACCAAGGCCATCTTCTTTCCTGCAAGCGCACGGAAGTTGGGGCGAGCACGAGCGCAGTGTGAAACATTTGCCAAACCTGTGCTTCATGCTTGTTTGCAAGCAGTTGCCTCCAGGTTCTCCAACCCTCTTACATACAGGTGCTGCGTATAAATGAGTGCATGGTCTATGGGGAAAAATACTCCCAGCGTAATGAACTTGTTTCTGAAGATGAGGCAATGCACTTGCACTTTAGGTTGCGTGGTCTGAAGCTAACCATGTGAAGTCTTTGGGAAATTAATCTGAGCTTCTCATGGACGTGTGAGCTCCAAGGTTGAGTGGGGAAAAGTGCGCATGTGCGCGCAGCAAGTGGCTAGCATACTTACACCCAGTCTTGACTTGTTCCTTCGTGTTCCCACGCAGGTGCCACTCCTCATCCATCCGCCAAAAAAGATGGCGAGCAGAAGCTTCGACATGGTCCTGCCGCAAGGGCTATTGCAAATGCAGTGGCGAGGGGTGCATCTTGAATGGGTGTGGCTACAAACGTGTATTGTTGAATTTTGTTGACTTTTTTGGTTTAACCCCAAAGTGAGGAATTGGGGGATTATAGGTCAACTTGAGGTCAGTGAGAAGGAAGCTTGCTCTATTGTCCGGGCATTTTGGGAAGAGGTGTCTCCATGTCTGTTGCCAGATGCCAAGCTTCCAAGTTCCAAATTCATGAACTTGGCGACCAGACTGTCGCGCACAGGTCATGAATGCCGGTTGTCCAACAGCTTGGCTGGCTTTGGGTTATCTGCGGACATACCCTATACCTACATTGATGTGGGCCTGAAGGAAACACATCCCACCTTGAGCGTTGGGGATACTTTGCGCACGCTTGTGAGGCATGGCAAGCAGGACCTGGTTTTTATGGGGAACAAGACTTCAACTTACGAGGGGTTCTGGAAAGAGTGGAGGCAGCTATATCCTTCACATCCCATGTTTGATTGGCACTCTGAGCATTTGGGGTCATGTGTCCCCATCGCTGTACACTTAGATGAAGGCACTACATTGAAGAAGAAAAGCCTAATGATTGTCCAGTGGCAGCCCATCATGGGCAAAGGAACTCGACGCTTTCGAGCCACCCACGAAGTTCCAGGTTGCAACATGTTGGGGGACAGCATTACATCAAGGTTTTTGTGGGGTGTCATGCTTGCCCGATTGTATTCTGGCAAGAAGCGGGGACAGAAACCTTTGCAGGAGATGTTGCGACACTTGTCAGCTCAGTTGACAGAAGCCCTCACTTCCGGTATCGAGGTCGTCATGAATGACCAACCCCAGACAATCTACCTTGTTTGTGTAGCCATCAAAGGGGACTGGCCAGCTCTGGCCAAGGCAGGCAACTTGTGTCGCCACTTTGGTCGTTTGCAAACCAGTTCAAAGTCAACGGCCAAGAAACCTGTTGGCATCTGCCATCTTTGCCGCGCAGACCAAGAGGATTGTAAATCATGGCACGATGTTTCATGGGCTAGCATGTCAAGAATGCACCGCCATCCACAAGCCCCTTGGAATACTGTGCCTCACCTCCTCTCTGCAATACCGGTCGATGACGCTGACAAAGCTGGTTTCTTCAAAGTTGACCTGTTCCACACACTTCATAAGGGTGTTTTTGCCGACGTCGCTGCCAACACAATCGCTTCTTGCACGCATGCCTGGGTTCTGACCAAAGTTCATTTTAAAGCATCAACTTCCCACATTCACGGCCCCTGTTGTTAGAACTGACGCAACCAAGGTCTGTGCGTTCGACTACCAGCTTTTTGCGGGAAGCTCTTTCGATGACAAATGTCAGACTTTCTTCGACGAACTGAAGACTTACTGCGACCAGTGTTCCTTACAACTCAATATGACTGGAATAACGAGGACACTACTGGGTTACAGCAAGTCATCTGAGTACCCTTCAGGGAACCTTGGACTTTCAACCCAATGCATGTGTCTTTATTCTTGGATTTTTTATGATTCAAGTTTAGGGCTGATGTTTGCAACTATCTATGTTGTGCTGAGGAACTGGTTCAAAGGAAGCGACACCACTTCCCTGCTCTACTTTCTTCAGCATCGGATTGGAGACACACTAGATAGCCTTGACAATGATGCACGGCCATTCTTTGTGGATATGTGTGAATGCATAGGGTCTGCGAACTGTTTCATGCGATGTTTGTATCACTCCGCTCTGTTTCTCACACCTGATGAGAGGGAGTACCTTCTGGAAACAGGCCATAAAGCAATCCAATGTTTTCACAAGCTTGCGGCAAGATCCTTCAACATGGGCTACACAAGATGGAAGTACATGCCCAAGTTTCATACGCTGGGTGAAATCCTTTACACTTTGGAAGTCGAGCGCAGGAAAAACCTACCAAGCATGTCGCCTTTAGTGTACACGACCCAGCAAGACGAAGACTTTGTTGGAAAGGTTGCGGCCATGAGCCGAGCAGTGAGCATCCGTACTGTTCATGCCAGAACGTTAAGCCGGTACCTCATAGCACTGGCAACAAGATGGTGAAACAACACGTTTGAAGCGTTTGTTTGAATCATCTTTTTCACTGACTGCCCCTTCTGTCCTGATGGATGGAGCATCTTGACGGAAGCCATGCTGCTGGCAACGCAAAGTAGTGAAAACATACAACCTTGCAAGACCTGGATATGTGGCATACAATGGTTGCATGTGCTTTCGATCAAATGCTATGGGGAACCTGTTGCCCAGTTAGATGGTTTAAGATGATAAAGATCTCGAGCCATGAAATGCCTGAAATTGCAGTGGCAGATTTGGGCATGGAAACCGGTCACAGTGGCGCAGTGGCAGAAATAATAGTGCACTGGGCTTTGCAGGAGGATTGTTGAACCAATTTCCACGCTTGCCAAGAATCAGCCAAATCTCCAACCGAACGCTTGTCTCCTTGTGGAATGCTGGGCGCCCAGTTACCTACCTGGAAACCCATTCCCAATTGAGATCCTTTACATAGTTTGTGGCTGGGACTGGGGAGACATCCATTTGGGAGTGGGTTTCCAGGTGCATCGACCCCTTTTGAACCACCCCAATTCAAAACAAATAGAACATACCACGACCCTCCAAGGTGTGTCTATTTATAGCCCCTTAGTGTCCATTAACCACCCCTTGGGGGTCCAACAGCAACATCAAAATAAAACCAGTCCCATGGAGAATCTTGGAACATCGAGGGTGTTTCTCGGCCGAACACCGCGAGCGCGAAGCTCTCGGTCGAACTGGGCAAACAGCTGGTTCTGGACCAACAACTTCTGGGTATCATGACCTCGAGACCAGAAAGTGCCAGGGAGAGAGAGAGAGAGAGAGAGAAAAAGAAATAAATAACAACATATCATACACAGTCTGTACTTATCATATATGTACCTAGAACCTGAATGACCTCTATTTTGGACCACCAAAACCACTCAAAATAAGGTCGTTTCTTATCAAACAAAGGTCAAATGAGTTCTAGGTATACACATACGACAACTGAACACGCACACCGTTGTTCAAGGAATTCCACGCCTGGGGTTGCTGCATCCAGGCGAGGGTAAGCGATCGCGGGGAGTCCAGAACATCCTCCTTGTATGAACTCTACCCACCTATTAAAGTTCTGCAACAATGAAACAAGCCTACCATTATTTTGTTCTTGTGGTCCAGACTGCTCTACACTAGTGAATCTCCATTGAACACCCCTTTGAAGGAAATATCAGGGACCTATGTATATGAGAAATACTTTACATGTTTATCAAAGGAACATCTATTTTAGTACCATTATTATAGGGAATATCAGGAATACATATTCCTTTTCCCACGCACCTACCCAAGCTTTCAAACAGTCTGCCCGAAAGCTGAGGATTGATCAGATTTTCGTGCCTGAAGCTCAGCAAAAACATACCAAGAAGTACACCCTCCGCCAGAACTCCTGGCCCAAATGTCAAAGGCAACTTTTTGGGGCAAAGCCATCTGTAAATCACAATTTTGGAATTGAGCCCAAAGTCCTATAATTAGGGAGAATTCTTTTGTGGTTGAAGCAACATCTACTTGATGGGCATGCCTGCCCAACCACTAGTTCGATGACTCGGCGACCCCATTCTGCCAAAGCCCGCGGGCTCAGTCCCATGCCGGGTAGCACTGTGCAGCGAGGGAGGTAGCCAAACCCATCAGGCAAGGAACCCCATAGTTCACATTTGAGTCTTTACGAGTTCAAAGACTCAGAGTGCAGGTCAGCAAAAGCATCCACCCCATTCAAAGACTCAGAATCTCGTCATACCCTCCAACAGGTCTCACCCTCAGGTCTTACCCTTTGGACGTCAGTCCGGCCCTGCGGGCCCTGCAGCCCACTCCGCAGCCTGCCTCGCTTGCGGAGTTGATCCATCCTCGATCGATCACAACACCCAGCGGCGAGACGCGACGTCGCACTGCGCGGCGAGGCGGGAGGCGGACCGCGGAGGACCGCGGAGACGGCGAGTCAAGCCACGGGCGATGGGATAAACACATAAGACCTACAAGGAATCTAAGCACTGAGCCGGGTGTGACTGGCAAAGACCATGGAGGATTTTAGAAGCAGTTCAGCGTCTTGCTGAAGCCACGGGGGTTCCTGAAATAAGGCATTATGTGATTGGAATTGTCAGCCTTCATGGCTTTTGCCTGTGGATTCAACCCCTGAAGTATTGTCAAGCTAGTGAAATAGTTACAGGCCACGGCTCCCCCTGTGTCTCATCCTCCAAGTGGCTGCTGCGTCAACATCTCCAAGTGCTGCCGGTCGGTCGCATGTTCTGGGAGGGAAGGCAGGTCAGGCGGTTCGAGAGCACTCTCCACCTGGACGGTTTTCGGCGATCGGCAGGTGGTGAGGGCGAGGGCTGCACGCTTGGAAATGTGTGGCAGAATCTTGAAACACAATCATATGAACCAAACAAGAACCTCCAAAAATGACCAAAAAACAAACAATAACAATCAAACATATTGATAAAAAAGGATACATTACACATGGTGGAATTGGGTCGAGGAAAAAGACCGTGCTCCGGCGCCAAGAAGCACCACAAGTTGATGCCTTTCACAACGGTCTTCCGGTCACAACATCCTGGTCGTCCCAGGTGGCTTGTCTGCGGAATCACCCCAAATTTCAATACAATAGATTTAAATTATTGTTGTGCAGCAGCTCCATCCATACTATACCATTCAGTTCAGGAGAAACTGAACAGCTGCATCTATTCTTCGTCAACGGGAGGGTGCAAAACGGCACAAGCAAAGGCCCGCTTCAACCATCATAGAACTCTGGATGCCCATATTGAATGCAACTGGAGGAAAACAAACCAACAAAAACGCGAAGGACAACTTATGAGCACCAATAGTGCAAAGTTCCTGTCCAGTTGTGGCTCTCGTTGTAGGGACCAGGTTCGGTAATCTGCTCCAGAAACAAATTGATGTTTTCCCCAGTCCCAGCCACAATTCCATATCAAGGATCTCAAGCAAGCATTCTCTTGGAAGAAGGCAAAGAGAACCCAGAACTGTTTCCACTTGGGACTGGGTTTCCAGGTTGTCATTTGGTGGGGCCTGGATTCTGACGACCGGCGATGACCAAAACGCCAGAGACGATCACTGCCGAAGGCACCGCGAAGGCACTGTCACCCTCCGTCTCGATCGCTTCCGGTGTGGATCCTGCAGATCGTGGACGAACATCATCTAAACCAAACCATCCATGTATGAAATAGTTGTTTAATGTTGTTTACATCTACCCCATTGATGACCCATCCATGTATTATATAAACTATTCATTCCAGTCCCATGGATGGTCTGGAATATATCAGGGTCATGGACTCCTGCAAAACACACAGCACACACATTCTTCATTCTCTCACATTGAATTGACGGGTTTCCCGCACCAAAACATCCTTCAGCCCTGGTCGCCCCCCACGTGGCATCTTGGCCTGTCCCCGGCTTCAACAGCTGCACATCTTTGGCATGGTCCTATCAGCTTCACGTCTTCGCGGGCGCGGATGCGCTGGTTTTTGAAGGGCGCGGATGCGCTGGTGGCCCTAAAACTTCACGCCGGATCTTGTTGATCCAAGCACCAATGCGAAAAGGCCCGCGAATTGGTTCTGAATAATTAAGTCGAGTTGGTGTCCCGCGAAACTACCAAACGGCCGATGGTGCTTAGGGAAGCCATAGAGTCGATACCCGAGACGTATTGCATGGGACTGGCATATACCGATCAGGTGGAGTGGTGGTGCCAGGGGGGTCTTTCTGGGGCGGCAGTCCGGACAGGCAGTCCCATTTGTCGTGTCTGGGTACTGGAACAGATGGTCTGCCAAAATCCTTGAGAGTTGGGTGGGAAACGCGCTGATGGTCATGGCCAACTTCAATTCACGGATGCCTGAAGCTGCTGCGCCTCCCACGAAGCTGCTGCGTTCACACACCTTCGTCGGACCTTTTGGCACCTGGAGGAGGGACCTTCACAAAAAATCTGCATGGATTGGGTCTATCCGATTACCTGTAACAGTGGATGATGATGGTTATTAGATGCCTTGTCCCAAAGTAGTGATCATTGTTTACTCACGGCTCTTTACCGGTCACATTCGGACAGACCGGACTCATGGACACCTTCCAACCACTCCAGTTTGTGGACTCGGACTCGTCCTGCTGCTTGGACTCGACCCAGGAAATTTCGAAGTCCACCGCTGCGCCCTTCGTGACGGCCTCGCGAGCTGGAGCACGAGGACGGTGTGCGCCACGGTGTGTGGGGAGTGTTTGGGGGGGGTCAAAGTACCCCCGCGAGAAGTGGTCGGCGTCAGCTGGTGTGCCCAAAAGAAGGGCCACCTTGTGGCTCATGGCGTGAATTGCATACCACCTTGACACATGGCTGCGGAGTGTCCACTGAGAGTGCAACCGTGATTTATCGTGTCATACTTGGATTCGCTGCTCCCAGGAAAGCCTGGAGAAAAAACATTCCACCATGTTCCCCATGCCAGGGGGCTTGGTGAGGAAAGCTAGCATGGCTTAGAAACGAGATGTGGCGAGAGGTATCGGAGAGCGCACTTCTGCTTTTTTTTAATGGTAGGTAGGTCTCTGGTTGCCGTGCATTGACCTACAGTCAAAGGACCTAGTGGATTGACCTCTCCGATGCCTTGATCAGATGTGGGGGAGGGGAGAGTTGAACCTGCCGGGACGGGGAGGTCTACACATGAATTATTCACTGGGTAGCTCATTCAATCCCCCAGCCAAAGCAGGAGCTGGCTGACGCTAGCTTTCGTGATTTAACCTTCGGGAAAATATAATCACCTGAAAATCACAAAACCTGGCATATCATATCTGACTAGCATGGGGAAATCCACAAGACCCCCCCCATGGCGACCAACACCTCTCAACTTCTCAACCCATCCTACAAGTCCACACTTCCTCGGTCCAATGCAAAGGGCCTTCAAGGGATTTCTGACGAATCCTCAAAGCACTGGGCTGTATGACTCAGTAAGCATCGAAAGATTCACTGGAGGCGGCCCCTCCACTAGTGACAGTGCATAGCGAAGGGCGGGTGAAGGTAAATAAGGAATCCCCACTGACTAACATTTGCAAACATATCTAAGATAGTGATGATGCGATGTCTTTTTGGACTGTTGTCACAGGCAGGGACAGTTGTTTTCTTCGAAGTGAAATTGTGGTGGACCGGTTCAAAACACGTTGTGCCGCCACTGTCAAGCTTTTGCAGGTATACACCTCGCAAACCAGGTGGGTAGGTACACTCCCTCGAATCATGGCTATGTAGATAGCATGGCCCCAAAAAGAAGATCATGTTCCTAATACCAAACAGATGTGTTTTCCACGATGATTCCAGTAGTATAGGTGAAGCATAAATAACCCTCACGCCTCTCTCAGGTAGCTCTTGTGGACAAAGAGCTCACGCCCATCGGTACTCTGCACCTGGACTGTGCCGATGTTTCATGCTGTGCTGTGCCGGCACAGCAGAAATGTATTGGAAGCCGTGCCACTATCGTCGGGGACCCAGTGAATGTGTATTTTGTTTCGGTCTTGCCCTGGTGCTGGTCCGCAGATTCAAACTTAAGAATGCTGAATGCCCTTCAAGCTGCAGCCCCTGTCGCAAATGACTAAACATTCAAGCTATGCGCCTTGCCGAAGCCTCGTTCATTGTCCCATTGCACCATCACCTTGGATTTTTTCAGAAGCGTCAACACAGCAAACTGACCAACATTGAAGTATACTTTAAACAGAAACCGCTCATGAAGGTAAACAGCCTTCTCACTTGGATGTTTCATCTACTGAAGGCGTGAATCTGCAATCATGAGTCTCATCGAAACGACAAAAAATGACGATGTGTCTCCGGATGTGTCGAATTGAAGTGCTCAGGCCGATATCAAGTCATGGGAACTGTCTTGGGATTGTTTTCTCTACACTCCGGAAAACTAACGTTGTAACCGAACATGGACCTTTGGAAGACTATTTTCCTCTACAACCCAGTGGTTTTCAGGTTCTCCATGTGAGTGTCTGATTCCTGGGTGGAAACAAGGCTGACAGGCAAACTTTTGTGACTCGTCTGCAGTGATCGCCAATGATCGCAGTCTTCATGCTCAATGTGCAGGCTCACCATAAAGCAGTGCAACAATGTAAAAAAACACGGCCTCCAATACTTGTTCTATAGACGTCAGCTTATGTACTGTAAACATACAACAAAGCAAAACGAGTTCTCTCATCAGCCTAGGTCACGCCCCTTTGCCGGCTCAAGTACCGCCGCCCCCATGAAAGCCACCCCTTCGGCACGGCGCGACATGCCACGCGCATGGCGCTGCAGGACACCAGCGCGCTGGATCACGTGTTGTCGGATGTTTTGCAAGTGGGTCGCTCAAAACTGGGTGAAACAAGTGTGAACATGGGGTGAAGTAAGTATTTCTGGATCTCACTGGTTTTTCAGATTCTTTGTTGTTTTTTAGTTCTCCAAGCTGGGTCGACCAAGACTGGGCGGCTGTTGGTGAAACATCCCCCCTTTTGCAAGAAGTGCTTTCATTTTTGGTGAAACTTGAGGAAAGGCCGGCAACATGGCAAGCAACACAACGTGAATTAAAAAAAAAAACACAAGCACCTGTTTGTTCTGATCTGTCTCACTTCATTTATGTAATTTGGAGAAATGTGTGCAATGTAATCGAGATGAGCGTCCTTCCATTTCTTTCCCATTCCAAGAGTCAAGATCATACTTTGTTCTGAACACGTATGCGATTGTATGGCATCAAATGGCACATTCTCTAACAATGCCACTTCATCTTGTGAGACCTCTGTAGCAAAAAATGCAGCTCTCAAATCTCAGTATAAGTGGGGGCTTTAGCTTGTCGTCACAGAAGCCTAGAGGCCTAGAGTGTCCCTCTCTCTCGCTCTATTTCCCTGCTTTCCCTGATTGACCTGTAAACAATACATCTTCCATTCTGGGTTCAAGGGAATGAACATGCTCTCACACATGCCCCCCCCAAAACAAGAAGGTGAATAGAAACAAAAGCGCAGGACTTTCCGAAAGAGACCTCATCTATGACCTCATAGTTGGAAACCTACGGCCCTTGCGAGACGGCTAGGCTTAAAACCTCTATGCCTTCTCTCCAACCCCTCTGTGGCCTTCGCTCGCTCCGTCCGAAAGAAGCTGCCTCATCGTCACGTCACCTTTTGCGTCACGTCAGACCGACGTCTACCGCGCCGCTCCTTCAAACGGAAGGAGGGGCGCCAGCTCAGCGAAGCTCACGACAGCGGGCGGTGCCGGTCTGTCTGCCTCGTCATCAAGCTATATATATATATATATATACCCGACTTGGGCATATCCCTAGCCGCTAGCCATCAGTTCCACCTTTAAAGGAAAGGTGAAGCTGTTGTTGTAATTGGTGTATATAAATTCCTCAGTAAGGTGGTTCGGTATTCAGCCTATGAAAAACCATGGTGGAGGAAGGGAGAAGCCCTAGGGCCATAGACCCAAGGCCCACATGATGATGGTGAGGGTCTGTCAGGCCTTGCTTCCCGACAGAGTGATAAGTGTTTACCGACAAACCCTATACATGACGTGGGTCTATCCGATTACCTGGGGCCCAGTGGCTGATGATGGTTCAGTTGAAGGCCGACAGTTCAACAATAGTGATAAACGTGTACTGACTGTTACAGGTAATAGGACAAACCCTATATACAGTACCTATCTTTCCCATAGACATTCATGACCTATCGTGATTGACATGTCCAAGCAACATGATACGTGACCTATCATTCAGGCCCATCGTGTTATTTCAAACCCTACACATGACCTTCATCGTTGATAACGCTGAATGACACTTGTTGCTTGCACCAGCGCGGACCGCCCGCCGCTTGGACCGCTGCTGCTGACCGCTGCGGCAGGAATGCAGTGCCAAGGCGTGGTAGTAGGCGTGGTGCTAGGGCGCACGTGGATGGTCAAGAGCGCAGTTTCGCTTGCGACAGCTTTGGCCTGCACTGCAGGGATGCACGAATCTGCAGGCATCTCCTCGAGTGCAAGCCCCGCGCACCTGAGCGCCGAAGCGAAAGCAACACGAGCCAAGTGCCAAGTGCCAAGCACAACCTCAATGAATGGGGTACAAGGAAAATCTACAGGAAACTATGGTTTAGAATCTGACAACTATGGGTTTCCTATGGGTTTCCTGTTTCCTGCAGATGTTCCCTTATAATTCATTGACAGCTGCAGCCTGGAAAAAATGCGTGGAAAACAAAGAGCCCTCAAAGCCGGAGGCTTGCACGAGGGGGTGACCTGACAACATGAAGCCATCTGAGCTGAATGCCTGAAGGAGATGCCCAACCATTGGGCCAATGGTTAGTATTTCTTGGGCCTATCCCATTACCAGTAACAGTGGAGGATGTGGATGATGATGATGATGATGATGATGACTGAAAATTGTTTGCCGACCGTTGAAAGTAAATAGGACCAACCCCCAACCGGGTACTTCTGTCTGCGAAGCCGGTACGAACTGGTGCCTGGGAGGGAGATGCTTGGAGATGTCGTGATGCCAGTACCAACGCGATTCACTATGGTCAAGCGGAGTCAAGCGCTTGGAACGAACCAATGTATCCAAACATACAAGATCCTTGACTTAGAACATCTGATATAGCTTTAGAAGGTCTCGGTCTGTGTTTTGTTGTGTTCAATATTCGTGGCCACGTACGTACTCTGTGTCCTATAGACCACATCACTGAGAACAACCTCCCAAAACATGCATAAAACACAAAATATGTTGAGTGGCTGCCCGTCACTATGTAGCGTGGAAGCAAGAAAGAGTCCAAAAGTATGATATATTCTATGTGATTTTGAATGAATCGGGGATCAAAGGGTCCCAGTCTCACAACATGCTTAGCTACTTCCTTGGACGGACTGCCAAGGTGTTCAGATGCACTGCTTCAAAGAAAATATCAAATGAAGTGGATTGTCAAATCGAGAGGCGAAGAACTTGCAAATTGGTGCGAAGAAATCCCCATCATCACCGTCATCATACTCCTTGGCAGCAACAAGTGGCAGCGCCACAAGAAGACAAAACAAGTTCGCTGTGTCACGCTGCACAAAGAACCAGCGGCCAATGGATAACAAGGACTCGTGTTTTCATGTTTTCCAAGTGGCCGCCAACACGCCTGGCTTGCATTGTCCCAATGGAGACACATATGATGGAATCAACGACAGGACACCAATTGCTCCGGGTTGGTGCAAACTGCCGCTGGTCAAACCATAGCGTTTCCGCATGTGTCCGAGAGTGTGTGTCCCAAGTTGAGCTGTAGCCAGCCGAAGGTGTGAAGTAGGCTGTGACAGGAGTCAGTCCTGCTGTTGAAAACACAACAACGTGCTATGACAACCATGTGTTTTCCGATGGCAGATTTCCGCCACATATCAAGTAGCTAGGTGGGAAAAACAAATGCTTTCCTCGGCTAACGTTTGAATGGATTTCAATATGATTGTAGAATTGTAGAATGCATTTCTTCAACACGCGCACGTACCAAATAAGTTAGTTGAGAAAGAACATTACTGCTCTGCCATCCCTTACACACGCATGTTCCAGACACCCGCGACGGGTGGGGTCTCCTTTTTATTCCTTATTATCGTTTTACAGCTCTTTGACTAACTGCAACAAATGTAGTATACTGTAATGTAGTCTGTGCACTACATGCATGTGGTGTGTGGAGCCTTGCACGTATGAAGGCATTAGGCACACTTCATTCCAACTACGCCATGTGGTGGCCTGCCTACGGAAAGGTGTTTTAGGTTCGCTGTGTTATCGTTTTTGTTATCGGTTTGTCATCATTTTCATGCCGGGTGCAAGTTGGAAAACCATGTGGCACAACAATGCTTCAGCACAAGGCTACAGCTGTCCAAGCCCTCCCAATTTGGAACAGTAGTAGGTTTTCTGTTTGTGTGTGCATGCGTTTTCTTCACACCACGTCTCGCATGTCAAGGGTTTTCCACAAGAGTCATCGGGGGTTATCATTGCTTTTTTCTTCCTTATCGTTTTACAGGGGATTGAGCACGCTTCCAGAAAAAACGGACATGCAAATACCAATTTCTTGCATGGGGGGTTTTATACTATCTCACTTGCCTAATGTAGACTCTTGATTAATTAATACACTGCTTTGAAGAGGGTGTTCAATTCAAATGGAGGGGGGGGTGTATCAATCAAGAGAGTCTACATGTCTACATCATCTAGGTCAATTGTTAACCCAAACTTCCGACACCAGCAAACCCCCCCACGCTGGAAGCCCAGGTGTCGGAACCTGACTCCTCCTCTTCCTCCGGATGGCTGAAGATGCAGCTGGGGTTTCGACATCTCTCTTCCTTTCCTGGCAAGAAGACCGCAGGGAACAGCCCGCAACTGCTTGAAGGGGTTGCCTTCCGGAAGTCCTGGGGACGTTCGTTGGGCCAAAAACGAAGTGCGACCACAACCAGTCGAAGTGAACCAAGTCTGAGGCACAGTCAAAGTCACCACTTCCAGCAGATTCTGTCCTGTTCATCTGCACTCCCTTGCAACAACTTGTCGTCCTCTATACTAGTAGGAGGAACTCTCGAAGATTCTACCCAACCCAACCCAACCCCCTCCAGGAGCATAGCTGAAACCCTTGCGTCAATCGTGTGCTACACTGGCTTGCAAGGGGTGAACGTGGAATCTCCCTGTGGCTCCTCAGCTCCCTGTAGCTTTCAGCTCGGGAGCACCAGCTGAAGAGCACCAGCTTGTACACACCCTAAGGATCCATGCCCTCTGAGAAGGTGGGACTGGGGGGGGGGTTGGAGGGTCCAGTCGTACCTTTTGAGGAGGTACTTGGATTCCCTAGGAAAATCAACATCTTTTTCTGATCCCGGTCCTCAAAACATCTCACAACCTGGGAAGTCTCAACTCCTTGAAGTCTCAGATCTCAAACTCCCCACACCAGCGCAATGCACCAGTCCCAGTCTCATTCAACCCCCTTTCCTGTTTGACAACATTTGTTGCATACGGTTTACTTGAAAGGACAGGCATCGGCAGGGATGTGCGTAAGGACATCTCAGCCCACGAGTGCAGGTGGCTTTGGCAAAGTCCCGGCAAATCCTCAGGCGGCCGCGCTGTCCGTGGCGGGTTCGCTGTCGGGTTCGGCGGAGCTACGCTCGCCAGTCACACCCATCTTTAATGGTGGAGAAACGGTTGGAGGAACACCAGATCTGGATCAGCAGCACGCGAAAGTTTAGAAAAATAGATTACAAAAATTGCATAACAGTCTACAGCAGTCTACAGATATATTTTTAAATGTCTTCCTGGTGACTTTTCGACCGTCCAAAATAAGCCAAAGGCTGCGTCCTGATGACACATGTCTAC